TGAAGTCGGGTATTGTGATACCTCCAGCATTGCTGTTTTTGTTAAGTATTGCCTTGGCTATTTGCAGTCTCTTGTGTTTCCAAATGAACTTTAGGGTAGATTTTTAAATCTCTGTGATAAAAGTCATTGGGATTTTGATGGGAATTTCATTAAACATGTACATTGATTTTGGTATTATAGCCATTTTTTACTATGTTGATTCTACCAATCCATGAGCAAGGGAGATCTTTCCACCTTCTGTAGTCTTCCTCGATCACTTTCTTCAGGGGTTTGTAGTTCTTGTAGAGGTCATTACATCTTTTGTTAAGTTTACTCCTAGGTATTTGATTTTTTTTTTGAGGCTATTGTAAATGGAATTGTTTCCATATATTCTTTCTCAATTTGTTCATTGTTGGTGTATAGAAAAACTAACGATTTTTTAAGTTGATTTTGTATCCTGCCACCATTTTGTAGCTGTTTATGGTGTCTAGGAGTTTTTGGGTAGAGTTTTTTTGGGTCTTTAAGATATAGGATCATGTCACCTGCAAATAGGTATATTTTGACAGTTTGTTTACCTATTTGTATTCCTTTAATTTCTTCTTCTTGCCTATTTGCTCTGGCTAGGAATTCCAGGACTATGTTGAATAGGAGTGGGGATAGTGGGCACCCTTGCCTCATTCCTGGTTTTAGGGGAAATGGTTTCAGTTTTTTTCCATTAAGTAGGATGTTGGCTATAGGTTTGTCATATATAGCCTTTACAATGTTGAGGTACATTCATTCTATTCCTAGTTTTCTTAGAGCTTTTTTCATGAAGTGGTGTAGGATCTTATCAAAGGCTTTTTCTGCATCTGTTGAGATGATCAAGTGGTTTTGTCTTTGCTTCTATTAATGTGCTATATTGCATTTATGGATTTGCATATGTTGAACCACCCCTGCATCCCTGGGATGAAGCCTACTTGGTCATGGTGAATGAGCTTTCTGATATGTTGGATTTGGTTTGCCATTATTTTATTGAGGAATTTTGCATTAATGCATGTTCATTAAGGAGATTGGCCTATAGTTTTCCTTTTTTGGAGGTGTTTTTGTCTGGTTTTGGGATGGGTGTAATACTGGCTTCATAAAATGAGCTAGGCAGTGTTCCTTCCTTTTCTATTTTGGGAAAAAGTTTAAGGAGAGTTGGTATTAGTTCTTCTTTAAAAGTCTGATAGAATTCTGCAGAGAATCCATCAGGTCCTGGACTTTTCTTTTTTGGGAAACTCTTTATTGCTGCTTCAATTTCATTTTGTGTTATAGATCTATTCAGGTGATTAATGTCCTCTAGGTTCAATTTTGGATGGCCCTAAGTATCTAGAAATCTGTCCATTTCTTCAAGATTTTCAAATTTATTGGAATATAGTTTCTTAAAGTGGTCTCTGATGATTCCCTGAATTTCCATGGTGTGTGTTGTTATCTCCCCTTTTGCATTTCTGATTTTACTGATTTGGGTTTTTTTCTCTCCTCATTTTAGTCAGATTTTCCAGGGGTCTGTCAATATTGTTTATTTTTTCAAAGAACCAGCTTTTTGTTTCGTTGATTCTTTGTATGGTTTCTTTTGTTTCTATTTCATTAATTTTGGCCCTTATTCTTATTATTTCTCTCCTACTTGTTTTGGGTTTTGCTTGTTCTTGTTTTTCTAGGAGTTTGAGATATGGCACTAGGTCATTGATTTGAGATCTTTCTGTCCTTTTAATATATGTACTCTTGGCTGTAAACTTTCCTCTTAGGACTGCCTTTGCTGTGTCCCATAGGTTCTGGTAGGTCATGTTTTCATTTTCATTGACTTCCAGCAACCTTTTAGTTTCCTCTTTTATTTCATCAATGACCCACTGATCATTGAGCAATGTGTTTTTCAGCTTCCAATTGTTTGCATATTTTCTGCTGTGTTTTTTTTTGTTGTGCAATTCTAGTTTTAATTCATTGTGATCAGGTATAATGCATGGGATTATTTCTATTTTCTTTTATTTATTGAGGCTTGCTTTGTGCCCTAAGATATGATCAATTTTGGAGAAAGTTCCATGGGCTGCTGAGAAGAATGTATATTGTGCGGAAGTTGGATGAAATATTCTGTAGACATCAGCTAGGTCCATTTGACCTATCATGTGATTTAGTTCTAGAATTTCTTTATTGATTTTTTGTTTGGATGATCTGTCTATTGGTGATAGGGAGGTACTAAAGTTTCCCGCTACCACTGTGTTGGCGTCTATATATACTTTTAGGTCTTTCAGAGTATGTTTGATGAAATTGGGTGCACTGATGTTGGGTACATAATAGATTGAAAATTGTTATTTCCTTTTGGTGTATTTCTCCTTTTATTAGTATGGAGTGTTCTTCTTTATCTCATTTGATCAATGTAAGTTTGAAGTCTACTTTGTCTTTGATAAGTATTACTACTCCTGCCTGTTTTCAGGGGCCATTGTCTTGGTAAGTCTTCCTCCAGCCTTTCACCCTAAGCCAGAGCTTGTTTCTGTCAATGAGATGGGTCTCTTGTAAACAACAGATTGTTGGATCTTCCTTTTTAATCCAGTTTGCCAAACAGTGTCTTTTGATGGGGGAGTGAAGTCCGTTAACATTCAGTGTACAACTATGTTCTTGATAGGTTAGTTGGTGGTTTCAGTCACCTGTTTTCTTTCCCTTGGTTTAATTTTGTTTTGTGGCTGTATTGGGTTTTTAGCCAAGTGTGTGTTTGCTATTTCTGCCCCTGGTCTGGGTATAATTTAGATTAACTAATTCACAATAATAGAACTAAAAAGAAAAATAGAAATCAATGGGGAGAGATGAACAAACAAGAAACAAAACAATCAACAACAAAAGAAAACTCCAGGTTCAAGAACAATAGACTTTCAGTCTTAGTTTAAGTTCCGGTGTTACTCCTCCAGTATCCAGTCTTGGTGTTGGTATTTAAGGAGAAGCTCTGTGTAGTCTCTCCAGATGATTGGGTAGTGTTTCTTTTCTTCTATCTTTTAGAAGCAGCTGCTTGGTCAGCTTCTCCCTCAGAGAGGTGTGGCAGTTTAAGTTTGTATGTTGTTTTCAGGTTCTGGAGATCAGCTCTGTAGTCCACCACCACTCTGCTGTTTGGTCTGCCAAATGTCTCCCAGGCAGGTTTGGAGCCAGTGTCTGGTGGGGTGGTGGCAGCCCTCCTGTTTCCTCAGTGTAATGTGGTGTGGAGAAGCTTTCTACAGGTTAGGGGTTCAGGGTGTCTAAGTTTTGATTCTCCTTGGTGCTTTATTTCTGCCAAGTGTGGCTCCAGTGTCTCAGCAAGGTTTTTTGATTCACGGAGCTCACGCTGTCTGCTTCTGTACCCTAGTCGCCATCTTGAATCCTCCCTTTTGTTAGTTTTTAACTGAAATATTTAGAGTAATGGTTTTCATCTTTTATAAAGTATTTGAGATTGCTGAGATTTGAGAAAGCATTAGGTAGACAGTGCTAAAAATAATTTGACTTATTTTTCTAAGTCCAGGAAGAATCTGTTTCACTCAGAGTCTTGTTTTATTTACAGTGGTAGCTCTTTAGGTTCAAGACTGGGTAATTAGTTTCAATTTTTCATGGTAGTCACCTCAGTGAGGTAAAGTTTATAAAGATTCATAATTGCCCACATTTACAGTTGAATCTTTACCAGTCAATAATACCATTTTGTATTACTCACATCTCATGGACTAGTCATTGTATACTGTTTGATACACTTTCAAAGTTGCAATTATGTAATTTTGGTCATGGCATAAATCACAATAAGTGATAGGAAATTTTTGATAAAGGATAATGTAGGTAGAGAGACTGTGTGATTTAATTGGATAGTACAGGTTTCTGGCTACATTTATTTTATAGAACTGTCAAACCTATTTAGCAATTATTACATCTTCCAAATCTTTTGCTGGATAGAACTTTTGAAACTACATGGTTATGCTTAGTTTGCAAATGCTGAGTTTATATCCTTTAATGAATGTGGATTGGTAAGAACTGTAAGAACACCTTGCTTTTGTTACAAAATATGGAACCCAGTGATAGCCAACCATTTTTGCCTGTACCAAAAGTAAACTCAACCCTAGAAATCAGAGGTGACTTAATGTCTTTCCTCTCCCCCATCCCACACATGCATGCATTCGTATATGTTTCCTTTTTATCTTTTTTGGGTAAATAGCAATTAGAGATTCTCATTAGCTTTTCAGTTCATACCAGCTTAGCATTGTTGTCCAGAGTGTGATATGTGTTGCATCTTATCATGACAAGGAGAATTTGCTGTGAGAGAAACTAGTTCTCCTAGGGCTCATCTCTAGGTTTCTTCATTTAGGAATAAAAGTCAGGACTCTATCATTTTGAATGTGTAATCACCTTGATTATGTTATTTTAAGTGTTTAGTGTAATTTTGCTTTAATTAGAATAATGTACAAAAAGCTTGGCATTCTTCAGCTTTAGTGCCATTTTGAACATTGTGTTTAATATATTTCTCTCTTCTAGTTTGTAAATATAATAAGAAATGTTTGTTGATGAATGCATTTTGGATTTCTTCTTTATCTTTGGAATCCAAACTGCTTCTTAATGGAAATGAAATCCCCAGTATTAGGATCACCATTGCCTTTCTAAGAATGGCCTCACCAATCTTATATATACATCAGAGAGAAAGAGAGAGACAGCACAGGAGCATTATAAAAGCGTACACTGACAGAGATCCTTGAGCATCATAAATAACATGTGGTGGGTCAGTTAAAATTCAGAGTGCATAGATAGTCAATTCTTGGAGCAAAGCCTTGGGATTTACTGGCTCCGTTTTATGTTGCATAGGATGTCTTGCTGTAACTAAATGGCATGTTGATAAAATATGATAGCAGTAACTCTACCATAGTTTCACTAATACATATGCTTCACTGGCATTTTCTTTATTTTGCACTAGCTTGTTGCTTTTTATGGCCCTTTAAGTTAGTATGATTGATTCAACAATTGATGATTTTAGTACTTTGAAAATAAAGGAGTATTTCCTTCATCTGCAGGTGCTGCTGTTTTTTCAAACGAAGGAAAAGGAAAACCATACAACGACACAAATGACTCTGGACACAGACAGACCATGGGGAGTTACTTACATGTTCATCTGCTGTCTTGGGATTAAAATCATCTCTGTAGTGACCACGTATATTTTCAAGGACTCACTCTTGGAAACAAAAATGTCATACTTTCATACTTCATTTTGTGGTTGTCTTACATTCATATTTTTTTCTAATTTAACTTTTATGGAAGCTTTAAAGTTTTATCAAAACGTGAGTGCTTTGCCCATCAGTGAATGGAAAGGACCAATGGGGTGGTGGTGATGAGTACATTTCTAAAGGACGTTTTTCAGAAGCTCTTCTCTTGTTGGAGAAAGCAGTACAGTTTTAAGTGTCAACCAATTATATGCCTAATTTGATTTTGTATATCTTCTGTAAGACCATACTCAAACAGGAGTTTTCTTCCCAGTGGACAATGCAACAGAGAAAACAGAGTTGGCCAAACATTTATTTCTTGAGAAGTTCATATTTTGTGACATCTGCATTGATTTCAGTATTACTGATGGTACTGTCATTCATGAGTCATATTAACATTCTCTGTGAAATCATGGTACAGTCACTGCCCAGAGGTACTGAGGAGAAAGCTCTATGGGTTTGGCAGATGGTGGTGGTAAAATGAATCACAAGAAGTGCGGGAAATTCAAGTTCTGCTTATGTTGCACCACTATGTGAAGTACAGTGTTGCAGAAGTGGGAGAAGTGCTTATTTTTTAGAATTGCAAACATTTGTATGATGTAACTTTATGCTTCCAGATAATAATGTATGTTAGATAGCAAGAAATGAATACTTTGAGAAGTGATGTATGTTGGAATTTTTAAAAAATACACTAAGGAAAAGAAAGAAATGTGAACCTCGTTGTAATGTGTAAGGCTAAAGCCTGAGGAGATCCCACTGAAACCTACTGCTGAATGATTACATTCTCCCCTAAGCAGAAAACTTTGGATGTGCCATGCAATGGTGTCTGTTCATTCTTTTTGTCTGATTAAAAAAAAGACTCCCAGCAATAAAAACTGGGTCACTCTATTGCCCTCTGTGCACATTAGTGTCTTGTAGTCACCTTTGCTAATTCTCTGGAATTTTCATACTCTTTAGCATGATTGAAAAACTATTTTGGAGAAGATGGGTCAGGTGCTTTGCCTTCATAGTCTTTTTAAGTGCTGCATATGAACAAAGTAACAGTTCTGTAAAAAAGGAAGTCCATTCCACCTTTGAAGTATGCTTTGTTTTAAGCCATAAAGATGCAGGTATACTTTTGTCACATCCCTCTAGCCAGAATTTTTCAAGAAGGGTTAAAACAAAAAGACTGGCTGGAAAGAATTGTGTTGATCAAATCTCATATTTTCCTTTCATTTATAAAATTGTTACTTACTCCTTTCATGCAGTCCCTTTGTCGTAAGTGTGTGCCTCCAGCTATGCTTATTTATTTTTATTGTCTCAAGGTAACATTTTAAAGTGTATATTAAAGTAAACAAATCCACAATTTTTTACTTTATTATTGCATTTACAGGTATTTAATTGTACTTTATAATTTATTTTTATTAGCAAAATGTTCAGTACATTTTTGATGAATTAGGCACCCATATGAACACCACAGACCAGGACGTTGTTTATCATTGTTTCTCTGAATCTCATGAATGGTCTTTTTTTGTGACTTTAGAGACCTTTTGATCAACAGTTTGCATTCTGTCTGTCTGTATGCTGTTATGATGTCTTCAACTACAGGAGTTGCATACTGAGTTTTCATTTTTGTTTGCTTTGAGCAAGGTAGATGGATGTTTTGGCCATTATAATGTGAAACCATTCTTTCTTTACAGTATTTGACCAAATTTGTGTGTCTATGAATATTTGTAAATACATGCGATATCTGTATTTCTTATCATAAGCCTATTTAGTTTTATTCTCAGTAGGGTTTTTTGGACTGTACAGTGTTTATATGATCTGAACTCCTTATACATAAGAAGGTGTGTATATTAATCCAATTATGGACTTAAAATATTTTAAAAGTATAAATACCCTTATTTGCTGCAAAGACCAGTGTGTAGACATTTGCTTTTTAGCAATATTTTTAAGTGCTCCATTTTAATGCCAAGGAGTGAGTCTTTTGGCAACACAAACTGGTCAATAATAGGTAATGCAGGTATGTTCAGGTTAAGCCAACAATGTTTTGCATTTTTATGCTTTTCTGTCAACACTAATGAAATCAACATTGCCTGAATGTCTGAATAATGAAACACATCCCTGTTTAAAAGTGTGTAATGGAAAAAGAAATAAAAAATAAAGGTAGTTTTTTTAAACTTGCTCTTTCCCCTTTCCTCTAATTATGAGTAATATAATGCCATTCACTAATTCAAAACAGGAGTTTTTAAATTTTACTTCATTTACTCTATTATATGTGAGAACCAGAGCTAAAGGAATATGCTTTTGTTACTTTGTTTTTACTTTTCTTTGTTGCATCACAGTCATAAGGAGCACATACCAAGAAGGATCTAAGCTTTTTTGTTTTACTTTTTTTTTTTAAACATTTCTCTGTGATAGTTAATAGCACAATTCATTAAAGCCATCTTCTAATAACTAAGGGAAATAGAGATTTTATTTCTTCCTGAAAGTGAAATCACACTATTAGGTTCATAGAAATTCATCAGTATTAATCCAGCTTTAAGTGAATAACTTTGAAATCATTGGATATAGAAAACATGTTTGTAGAAGTAACTCTGTCCTTGTGCTTGGTCCTTTGAAGCAGTTTACTAAGTGACATTGACGGCACTCTGTTTACTGAAGGACAAGGGAAGCAGTCTCTTAGCCTGAGAATGTTTCCGTTAAGCACCAGAGACACAAAGCAGCAGGAGGACTGTCTAAGTTGATGCATAGCCTTTAAAAGGCCTGTCTGCAAGAATTAGACTTAAGATTGGGGTTCCAACCTCAATGATTATGTAGTTGTATTAGTAAGAACCTTTTGAACTGCAAGTGATAATAGCTTAACCTGGTTTATGCCATAAGACTGTATGTTTTCTTATTTAATCATTTAATCTCAAAGTCTAGTTGTAAAACACTGCAGATGTGGTTAACTAACACAGGAATCTGTCTCCATACCATCTCTTGGCTTTTTTTTTTTTTTTTTCAGAACAGGTTTGGGGGGTGGTTACTGAGGTTTGAACTCCAAGACCTTGCACTTGGAAGGCTGGGGCTCTACTGCTTCAGCCACACCCCCAGCCCTTTCTGCTTTCATTTTTCCAATAGGGTTACATTTTCACCCGGTCTGCATGGAGCATGATACTCCTATTGATGCCTCCTGCATGGGCGTGCACTGTCACATCCACTTATTGATTGAGATGAGGTCTTCACTAACTTTCTACCTGGGCTGGACTCCAAAAGCACTCCTTCCTATTACCTTCTCTGTAAAAGGTGTGAGCCACTGGGCTTTCCATCCTGCTGTTTCCTTGCATGTATGATGGAAAGTGGTCACCCAGCGCCTTGAGACATTCTACTCTGCTGTCTTAGTAACCACAGTAGAAACAAAGGGCTACTTTTCTCAACAGTTTCAGCAAAATCTTAAGACTGACATTTATTTGGTTTACATGCCTATCCCTGAATGAATTACTTCCAAGAACCTTTGCTGTTCTCCCAGTGTCTGAGTGGAGTTGTGGATCCACCTTTAAAAGACATTTGTCCTGAGAAATGAGGCAGCAAAGGTTCTACCCAAAAGGATATGAGGATATTGTAATCCAAAGGACAGTGGATATCTACTGTGCAGGCAAGATAAACAGATCCTACTATCATGCAGAGAAAGACAATGTAGCATAAAGGCAAACCTTAACTTTTAAATTAACATTATTACTATTTTTCAGAATTTTATGAACATATTATTAGAAGTCACTTATAAGTGAGTATTACTGAGAAGTGTTTTGGACTGAGGTAAAAAGGCAAGTCACAAGTACCTTATTTGGTGTGTTTTGTTTACCTTCTTGGGTTTTGGTGATAGAATTGGATTAGAAGAGTTTTTCTATGGTGTATTAATAAGTGTGATTCCACAGTTTGCTGTGATTTTCAGAATAACTAGTTTGTAGTCTGACCAACTATGAGTCAGACCCAATAAGCCATGAAGAAATTTTCCTCTTCATAAGAATGTGTGGATGTTTAGCCATAGAAAAGACTACAGAAAAGTATTGTCAGGTAATATTGCTTGGAATATGGATATGTTTTCTCTTTTCCTTCTTTCTTGCATTTTTTTGGATACATGGTTTTAATTTGTAGCCCAGGCTGGCCTAAAGCTCATGATCCTCCTGCCTTCTGAATGCTGGGATCAGATAAAAAAGACTTTATTACAACACTTGTTTACCATACTGTGATTTCACTTCATTGGAAAACATTTCCCTACCTTTTCTGGACTGAGGTTGGCAAGCTTCTTTTGGTAAAGTTCAGGTTTATGGACCAACAGGCAGAAGTGAAGTTTTTATACTTAAGTAATGAGAAAGAGAACAAACTTCCACAAATATTTTATTGATGAAATTTGAGATATATTAACATTTGAATACAATACAAGTCTACCAGTGGTAAGAATTTAATTAGTTTGAGGGGATACTTTTTCATGTAGTTGGGAGTTTGAAGTTGACTGTAAATAAACATCTTGTAATGCAACTTTTCATAATTTGTCTTTCCACCCGGATAGATTACTGTCAGGTACTGTTACCAATCCTTGAGCAGATGACTATGAGCACATTCATTTGTAAAGTATTTGTAGAACTCTATTACATTCTGCTCTTCATACTTGTCTTTTAACATACATTGCAGATTTATCAGTTCCTATTGGAAGTTAGGTAGATTCTTAATTGTACAGTAGAATACACTTGGAATTATGGAAATTTCCTCTGAACTTAGATTAAGATACGAAAACCCAGCAGTGACAGTTTTGGCACTTGGAAAATACATCTACTGCCAACATGTGTGGGAATGGAGAGCACTCCTCCTTTTAGCTTGACAGCATGGTCCTGCGCTAACCATGCAAGTTTGATAAACAACACTGTTATCAGAATGGTTTTGTTGCAGTGTGTTTCACAGAAAAGTGCTGTTTTATGTTAACTTTAGGTTAAATTTATTAAGAAACATTATCAAGCTTGTAGCAAAAGTTAATTTCCAGTGCCATTCAGTGTTCAGCTTTAGTAATTGAGGGGAATTCTTTTCATTCATAAAAATTTCAATTTTTATGAAAAAAAATTGCAGTAGCTGGGAGTGGTGTCACATGCCTGCAATACCAGCTTTAGGGGAGGCAGAGATGGGATGATCATGGTTTGAGCCCAGCGCAGGGGGAAATGTTGGCAAGACTCTATCTCAAAGAATAAATAAATATAAATATTGCACTCAGGCAAGTGCAAATCCCACAAAAAAGAAAGAAAGAGAAGCCAAAACAACAGCAAAAAAAAAAAAAAAACCCAAAACAGCACAGCCCAGTTATGGTACTGTACATTTGCACCCTACATTGGGAGGTGTTGGTAGGAGAATCATGGTCGAGGCTGGTCCTGGCAGAAGTCCCTACCTGAAAAATAAGTAAATCAAAAAGGACTTGTGGTGTAGCTCAAGTGACAGAGGACTTGCCTAGCAAATACGAGGCCCTGAGTTCATATCCCAGTATACACACACACACACACACACACACACAAATGAAACTTTACCACTGCCATCAAACTGCTATGGAGTTGGTCAAGTGAGGATGCTCAAGGTTTTTTTTTTTTTTTTTTCTGAAAACTTAACAGATCAAACATTAGCAGTTCAATGACATCAAATATTTTCTACAAAATACCTTCTGATGAATAATACAATATATAACTATAACTTTAAACATTTAACATTTTGACAGTCTTGGTAAACTTGTCCAAATCTTTTTTTTTCTGCACACATATTTCTGCTGTCAATTGTAACACAACTTAGCAGGTTCTACTTCAGGTTGTATTGAACTGGTGTTTTTCACCTTTAAAGATACTCCTTCCTGTACTTTTATATGCAGAGTACTTGTAAAAACTGATTCTTGAGTCACCTGGTCTCAACACTGGGGAGTACTATGAACACCTGTTGGCTAATCAAAAGCAAAGGGAAAGAACTTGAAATTTGCCTTGTTTTTAATCATCTGTTGGTGACACAATAATGTCCTAATGTCTTCACACAACTTTTTTTGAAAAGCTGGTAGTCATAACCAAGTTTATTTTATCTGAATGCACTTTCTGGCTGCTGCAATCACACAACTCAACACATGAGTGAACAGCTTGCTTTGCTTGGCTAATGAACCACACAGAAGGATACTTTGTTACACCTTTATCCTCATTTGTGTGTGAATAAATTCCTCTGTGAGGAGATACTATGTTTTACTTTTGTGATTGTTCTGACTATTGTGTTCCTGTGAGTTGAGGATATTGTGATGAGTGCTTACTCTGGTAATGTAGAAAAACATATTTTTAGTACAGCTAAAGTATCATTGCACAATAAACAATGCTTTCCCATGTAATTGTATAACAAAATAATCCACACTTCACTGTGCCTTAAAACTGCAACAAAGATTACTTTTCTGACATGATGAAT